ATTTGATTTTTTTTTTGACGAAAAAAAAATTCAAACTCCCTTTCTACTGTACATATTTCGATAAAACACTAAATTTGCTTTAAATTAAATCTGTTTGTAAATATTCACCATCAGAACTAAAGCTATTGTTCAAACTTTTTTTTTTTTATTGATAAATATCTGTCTCAATAAAGGACATTTATAATAGAATTCTGAGAGCACATTCACACCATATTTACAAATTAAAAAAAAAATAATAATAAGGTGATTTCAAAATAATATAAAGCTACAAAAGAACAAAATAAAATATCATAGTGAAGGAAGAAAATATAAATAATAGTAATAATAGAATGAAAATAAATGAATAAAATAGAATTAAAATTATCTTAAAAAAAAAAATGTAATGAAAATAAACATCTTAGATGCAGGCATACCTATTTACACTATTTACAGTCGGCCACGGGTACTCCGAACCATACTTATCCCCCCACCTGTGGAGGGAAAGCAAAGCTATTGTTCAAAATAATGTTGAAAATTTCTCTTAAAATGTCTATTACTGGTACATTAACCAAATATTATAATTTTATTTTTGCTTCCTCGCTAGCAAAGGTAACTGAAGTTTACTGTTTGATAGGTTTATAATACGTTTTTTTACGATTCCGCTGTTTCTTTAAACGATATTTTTAGTTATTTATTCCCTGAACTTGATGTTAGATATGATAACATACTTGTCCGCAGAATAAACAGTATTCTCTTAAATGAAATCTTATTATGTTTGAAAGTTATTACTTTCGCTTATTTATAGTATATATATATAGGAGGTATATATAGGAGAGTGATTCTTTAGAATACCCTTGCCTTAATGACGTTTACGGTACTATTCCGTTTATTGTTACTGAACCTTCCAAGGGACTATGAAGTTTGTGTATTTGAAGTACGGTTTTGTTGTTATCTCAGTTGGCGATTGATTACAAACCAAAAATCAGCTGTCATTTAATGTAATTATTATTTTACAATGGAATCGGATAGCTTAATGAGTAAGACACTGTTCTCCTCGTCCTATTCTCGAGGCAAGGACTGGCTGTGGTAGATAATTATTTATTCTGTTACATCTGCCGTAGATCGACCCTGGTTTGGTAGACCTTCCAGTCACTCACCCAATCCTAATAAAGTAGATGAATTAAATTAACTAATTGATTTAGAGAAACAAATTCTGGAGATGTTGCCTGATCACTTCCCTGCTCAACCGTTGATCAAGAATCAGTACTACCTTATTTACTGAACCCAAGGCCTTTTGTTTTTTTGTACGTATCGTTAGTGTGCTAATTTTAGAATAGTATGATATCATTTGATGTTATGAATATATTTTTAATTTATATGTTTACATACGTCATCATATTGATATTATGAGACATTTATGAAATTAAGGACAACGACTTCGCCAAACACCAATGTCTTTTAATATTTTATCTGTCATCTAACAGTCCCTATCCTGGATCCTATTTTATCAATAGCCTTCGAATGAGACGTTACCAACCGCAGTGTACACAATCAGTGGTCGAAGCCAAATGTTACCTTGCTAGAGCGCTTTCTGTACTGTTTACTCCTCGCAGTTATCGATTTCGGTGTTGATGGCGTGACCATAATAAGGAGAGACCCCTTTCCGACGTAACCACCAATCTTCAACGAGTTTGTGTATTAGGAGTTGGCTCATTCGTTCTTACTAGATCGGCTGGGTATTGGCGATTGTAATCGATTCCTGATCTAGCTAACTGATAGTGTCATTGAAGGGTTTTTTTTTTTTAAAATCGATTTATTTGTTTTGTATGCATTATTTAGTAAGCGAGTATCGTTCCGATTAATTATTCTTGATCGTATACAACCATAAATATCTACATGCAACCATTAAAATAGATTATAATCGAGTCCGTAGGGAGACTTGATGATAAGTTAGCACAAGTTAGAGCTCACGTTATTCGAGCTCTCTTATCAACGTGACCTCGTGTATGGGTAATTATAATTCGAGCTAACAAGTAACAAGTACTTTTGTAGGACAAGATGCTACTCATGCCTCGGCATTGTTAGTATCTAAAGTAATTTCTGACATTGTTTAAATATCTTATATACTTAGGCATGGAACTACATTTAACTAAGCCTGCTGATTAAACGAATAGACTAAATTTTCATAATAGTGGCGAGATGATTGGCCGTGATTATAATTTGAGAAGTAGTTTGTCGTGTGTGCGGTTAATATGGATATTATATATTATAATAGTATTTTATTGGATTCTTCATCATGTGAAGCCAGAGGGAATTAGGTCTAGGGGAAGACAGAAGGCAAAATGGATAGATAACGTAAAATAATATTTGAGAAAAAAGAGAATGTTCATCAGGTGCGCAGCCAACAGGGATGACTGGGCGAAGGAAATTGCGCAGGACAAGGACTGCGCTACATACGTCTGTTCCGCCAATAATGAATGAATTTTATCGAATCACCGAAGTTTCGATCAACTTTTCTGATTTTCATCAGATCATCAACAAACTAATTGATAATAATTTATAAAAGAGTAATTAATACAATGTAAAAAAATATAAATAAATGTATTATCAGTAGATATTAAACAAGTATAGGTTACCAGATAAAGATGATATTTATGGTGAGGTACATCTTATAAGTTCGTTAATTTCTCTAACTGATAATTTATAGCTATTTAATATCTAGTGATAATTCATTTATTTTTATTATACGCCCATACCAGACTGAAACGACTAGAAACCGCCCGACGTTTTCGGCTACTGCAGCACTTACTAGACAAACGCTCTAAGCTTTCAATCAATTACAAACGACTCATATATATGACAATAATAAGACCTATTTGGACCTACGGAATTGAGCCCTGGGGCTCCACTAAACCATCGAATTCCACTCACATCAAATCCTTACAATCCAAAATCTTTCGTAAAATCCTCAACGCTCCTTACTTTGTCACAAATAAAATCATCTATAAAGACCTTAATGTTCCATATGTTTCCGATTTGGCCCAATCCAGATACCTATCCTTCTATAACAAACTGCAGAACTATCCGAATCCTCTCGTTTCAAACCTTTCTTCCTCCTCGATCCCTGATAACCCTCCGAGGCGTCTGAAAAGAAGATGGCCTCGGGACCTTCTATATTTTATGTATATTTTATATTTTAGGATCGTTGAAGATTCCTTAAGTCTAGTATACTAAGTTGTGCGTCTAGAGATGGTTTCGAGACACCGTTCTTTGTCTCGTCTAGCGTCCACGCTCTACGATATGAATTTCACAGTCTCATCTTCGCTGTTCACCACAGAGGACATTGTTTTATGTGCTATATGTTCCTGCTTAGTGGTAAGAACAAGCGAAGAACGCGAAAACTTAGACGTTAGTGGACGTGCGAAGTGCTCGCAGAAGGTAATGCATAATTAAATAAATTAATTTTCCTGGAAGACTTACTTCTGATGGTTGGAGAGATTAACTACCGAACCAACCTCTTGGTAGCTAGAGACAGAATGGGACGTGTCTCCCCTCTAGACACCCAGAGACATCTACACTATCAAAATGTTGCGCAATATGTCTAATGTTATATAACGATTCCCATTCCGTTTGGGAGGCCCGTTGATGGAGATTTTTCTATAGACATGTCTAGGTAGACAACCCGAGACATGTCTCGGAGACAAAAATCGCGCAACATGTCTACTAGTGTGGACTTGGCTTTACTTTATATGTAGGTTTATAACCTATTCTGATTTTTTTTTTTTAAGAAAGATAAAATTCAATCTAAAAAAATGATAAATAAAACTAAGTGAGAATCGGCTGTAAGTCACTAGTATTTTTGTTTACCCTAACGTTAGTTTCGTTATGAGCTGGTTTTAGGATGGTGTTAGCTTAAAGATAAAACACAGATCCAGTTAACTATGACGTTAAACTGGAACTGACTATTTATTTCTCAGTTTAAGTAAGGTTAGGTGAAAGAGTTCCTTAATGCTCGACTCAGCAACTGTGCCTTGAATGTTTGTTTTCTGTTGTTGTAAGTTTGATCTTATCATCAGATATTTTTTTCATTGCTTCTGTGGCTATATTAACGTGCATTCCACTACTTTTCCATTAACTGGATAATTGGATGCTTTCAGGAGCTCTAATACGACCGCTGTAAAGCTGCTGTTGCAGTACCCATAGATAAAATACCCTGTCGATTGAGGTAAAGTATCTCAAGTTCACAACTAGCTGAATGTTTTCGGAATTAGAAATGGGTTGCTGATTGTTAAACATGCAATCTGTCATTTCTTTACAGTTTCTTCTATTTCTTATTCTTTCTCGTTTTCTTTTGTGCCTCGATATATTAATTCCATGTTTCACTGTCCCGTGGGTTCATATCCTTTAGTGGCATGAAGATCTTGAAGATGTAATCTACCCATGATAGTCTCTTCCTCTCGGGCGCTTTCCCGTGGGTCTTGTCTCGGTGACAGGACGGTTTCGTGGGTCAGTCATCATTCATCTCTCATAAATGCCCAAACCACCTGAATTGTATATTTTTTAGAGAATCATCTAGAGGGATATATGTAAGGATGAACATCAATTTTAAAAATACAACAAGTAAATGTAACATTGGTAACATGAGATGTACAACATGAAGAGCAACTACCCATTGGTAGAACTCAAATTAAAGGTCCCGATATATTAGAAGGTCTCGAGGCCATCTTCTTTTCAGGAGGGTTAAGAAAATTAAAGAATTAAAAATTAAGTCTTGTCATTCATTCCCTAATTTCAACATATTTATAAAGAAAATTGACCAAGACGTGATTTGATAAAATATTTTCTATCCGTAATTCAAGATTTTTTTTTTTACAGCCTTATTATTATGTAATTTAAAGTGTTTTCATTATGCTAGATCAGCGATTATTTCGATATTTCAGTATTAAGCGGTGCCTCCAACACTTATTGTTTAATAAGTTATGTGCAACTGCATTATTATTATAATTTAATAACAATTTTTTTTCTGCAAACAATTTTATTCAGTACACTGTAATGTCCGCTGCATACTTTAAACGCCAATGCCTACACTGAATTGTTAAAACCTTGAGTACATTGTTCAACTAGTCCTTCAGACTCAGAGCATCAAATCTGGAAAATACATTTTGACTTAAACATAAATAAATGTAAACAAATGAAAAAAAAAACTTCATACAAGATAAAATAACTCTAGGAGGAATACTATTAATCCATTTAAGACTCGTTTAACATTAATGCACATATTAATACAGTAAGATCCTATTTATTCGGAATATTGTGGCCAGAAATGTTCTAGATAATGCGAAATTCCGGATAAGAGAAGGCATGATCAGAAAAAAAAAATCTTGATATTAACAACAATGATATGGCTTCATTTTATCGCATCTTACAACTGTTTTATACGAAAATTCTCAGAAATATGGTGTTTTCTAATTAATTTCATTAGGTATTTAAAAATCATGAATAATTATTTGCTTTTTATTTTAATGGCAAGATAATTTTATCCCAAAATGGAGAAAAGAAATCAGGACACATAAATTGTGTGCCTTGTTATTTTGACATGGTAGGAGTGAAGGTCATCCCAAACTGCCCAATTTTTCTGCAGTTTGCCCTTTTTCTCGATTTTGTAATCTAATTATCTTAAACGATTCAAGTGGGAGGCAGATGGGTGTTCATGAGTTTTTAGTTCTTCGTCTAGTTGACAATGTTTCCTTATCTCCAGATTGAAAAAAAAAAAGTTCAATTCTTTAAGAATTTGCCTCTAATTCTTTGGATTATTGGAGTTTTCAGTATATCCAAGTTCGGATTATTGATATTCCACCGTAAATTAAAAGAAAACAAAATTCTGGATACTCCGGGTCTCGGATATGTCGTTTACGGATACGCGAGGATCTATTGTATTTATATTTAGTGTGAGTTGAATAAATGCTGTAAATATCCTTCAATACGTTTATACAATGACTACAATTTTCATAAAGTTGTTTATGTTTCTATTCTCGAATTGTCCATAGGCGTTGGCTTTCCAATTCGGTTGGGAAAACGATGGACAACAATTTTTTTCGGAAGATTATATTATATATTATGCCATCTAGTCGAATATTCCTATTTTCTTAATTGATTTTAGTTTACATATTTTATCCTTTCATGTAGATTAATTGTTATTAATTTTGTTTTTCAAAATATTGATGAAGCGAAACGATATTGTCGCACCCTCTCTATTTCCAATGGAGTGCGATTGCCCCCTTCCACTGCCCTCCCTTCTGACGGCCTATGGTTTTGTGTTAGTTTAATTGTGGATGCAAATTTCAATAAGTACCATTAACCGGTTGAGTTTTTTATTTGCTGTTTCTGGAACGTAGGTTCCCTAATAAGCTGAACCGAAGACTCACCAGTTCAGGAACTCTTGTAGAGCACGAAGGACAAGAGGCCGAAGAGGACGGCAACCAGCTGCCAACCCATCTCGCCGAGTATGCCCTCCTCGGCGATGTCACCGGTGTTGAGGGTGATCTTCTGGTGCCCCTCCAGCGGGCTCCAGGAAGGGCTGATGTTCGCCAATCGCTTCTTCTCTCTCTTCTCGCTCTCGGAACTTATCCACAGCATCTTTGGAGGAATCTCTTCCTCTTCAGATTCCTCCATTTTGAATGTTTGTTTAACAGTGTTTTTCAATTTTATTTTATTTTAGCCTTGAAACTTTGTATAACATATGTGTTCAATGAAAGTGTTAACAATGTCTCGTCTAATTATTACATGTATGTAGAGAAATATGTGTATCCAAGGTGTAAAATATTATCATTTTTAGTATCATGAAACGATTCAATTCTTAGTACTACTAAGATAAAAAGGGATAGAGATTGTTAGTGTTTTTAAATGTTTATTTTAAATAACATTACTGTTTCCGATTTACGTTCTTAATATATCTCGTTTAATGGATTAGTGTACCCCTGACGGGCTCTTTTCAGTTGAGGTCGAGCCCTTCCATTGAGTTCGGTCACTTCTGTCTACTTTCGGACACACTGGATCACTCTAGAGATACCATATATGGTGTAATCATAAGTTCTAGTGCCAACAATCAAAGTAGAGTGCCACTTGTACAATAGTACAAAAAAAATAAAAATTATTAAACCCTGAATCGGCCGACAGAAATTGGCGTGTTAGAGATACAGTGATCAATAAATTAATGAGGAAGTGGTATCGTCATTTTATAAATTCTAACACCGCCTAACTCAATTTTCGCAATTTAGGAACATATGAATATAAACGCCTAAGTAACCCGAAGGTTCGATGCCGACACAATCTCTGTCTACACACTTTACTGGTCGCCGTCCTAACTCCCCTCCGCCATATCAGCCTTAACGCAATCCCACCTTCGCTTCGTTCTGTCCCTCGGACGTATACCAGTTGGCACTATCATCTGTTAAGAATTCTTTCGTTAATAACAATAAGCTTGCAGGCACGATTACTCAGTAATATTAATCGTCGCAAAAATGGAACCAATAGGAAATCAGAAGGGTTTGTATCATTTTAGTGCACTTTTTTGATAAAAAATCACAAAAACGTTCTTAAAATTTCAACTCCATCAAAACTTAGTATCTCCTTTTACAATAAATCGACTATAGGTGGAAGTCAGTTAATTTAAATAATAGCTCGTATATTCAAAACTGTTTTTTTTTTAAATCGATATACCAAAAGCAATCACATGAGTATTCCGATTTAATAAAGTTTATAACCATTGTTATTATGGCTGTGCTTCATGTGAAAAGTTTGAGGCAAGATTGTGGCAAGTCACAAGTTTGAAGATTTGTGTAAAATGCTTCTTTATACCTCTACCTACTTATATACTTATTCTAATCTTTCAACCTCTTTGTATTGCTTGTATGTGCATGTATTGGTATAGTAACTTTGACTCGCAAATACAAGAAAGATGGACTTGTCCGATTCAGAAGGGGGAATCACAGGTGTTCTATTCTTTTAAAGGTATCATCGTTGTATTCTTTCCCAGTCTATCATGTGTAAAACAATACTAATGTTAGTGCCATAGCTCCAAATAGTTTTGCCTACTTATTGTTCTATTCAAAAGCCTTATAAATTAATTTTTCTCTTCGATTGCATTTCTGCATCTGCATGTGGGCTTGCGAGTTTTATAAAACAACCACGGGTACTACTGTACAAGCGTCACTCCACTTTGATAGGTTAAACAAGACCTCATGATCACGCCATAAATGGAATCCAGGGAATGGTCCAGAGTCTCCCGAAAGTGGACTGATCAGTTCTGTATGGATTCCGAGAATTTGCAGAAAATAATGATTTTTATAATATTCATTATTATTATATTGATCTCACTCTATATATCTAAATTTCTATGTATATATATTCATATACATACAATAATGTTTATTATAACAATTTTTTTCTTAAAATTCTCAGAATCCACATATATAGTTATAATTGATCTAACTTTTGAACCTTTGTAGACAAACTAGTAAAATAATATATATATTCTTGAAGAAAACTTATTTATTAAAAACTTTCTTCCTCATGACTTAATCGTAAAACGAAGCAATCAAATATTAGCTAGTTAAATACAGTAAAAAACATGAGGTAATTTTTTTTTCCACATCTTAGGGCGGATATCTCGGAAACTAAGCGAGATAGCGAAAAAAAGTTTATATAATCAATCATATTGCAAATTTTATCAGCTTTAATTTTTTATAGAGCGTTTTTATCGATGCGATATATAGTTTTCCTGATATAAGCGAAAACCCGAAAAAAGTGACCTACTAGGAGCCCCACCGCAAGTCCCTACTTAGTAGTATGCTTACCTCCTTACTAGTCCAAACCATTTCCCAAAGTTAAAAATTGTATTGCCGCCATTTCCTTCTATAATCATTCATTGAATGGACTAATACATCCCCGAGCTCCTTAAATTCAAATCCTCAGTCTACTCACGGAAAACCCGTTCCCGATCTTCAGATTTGTATTTAAAGGTCTACCGAATTGCTGCTTTCGAGAGATCTTTCGCTATCCGATCCTTATCCCAATTAAATTCTATCCCTCCCTGCATCCATCGCTCCAATACCCTCACCACCTTTAAATCCCGGCTGTTCAATCATCTCTTATCCTTTCAGTCGCCATACAATTGTAAAAAAAAGATGTTGTAAATGTATATTGAAATTATTTGCTCGTTTTAAATATTTTTACTTCACTTTTATTTCTTTTTATTTTATGTCATTTTTTTTTTGTGTTTGATTATTCTCTGCGACTTCAAATCCCACATTTCTATATGTTTATCCTAAAGGGACTTGTGCTAGAATAAATAAAATATTATTATTAAAAATAGAGATCGGGTCGGATAGGACCTTACCGAGCCATCTACTTATTCTCTCGCCTGAGAGTATATGACTTTGTTCCAAAAAACTATGTTTTCATGTTTGTTTTAGTATTCGAAAGATAACTTGGCGATGGAAATGCTACGACTCGGCCATAGCGAGCCCTCTCATATCAAGCCTGCATGGTAAATGAAACTCACATCAGTTTGCGAGATCCTCCTCCACTCCATTGTAAGGATGCTTTGATCCCCGTTGAGTGCACTGATTCCCTTAGGGCTGATATAAATTCCCTCGGGATATTCTCCTCCCTTCGGGATACCTTGGGGGCGGGAGGTCGGATCTTTTATTCATCGGGAGGATGGGCCGTCTTGAGTACCCCTCTTCTATTCTTGCATTATACGATATTATTTTGCACTGGCCGAGGGCTCCTTTGACAGTTCCAGATGTTCTTTCGTTAAGAGCCCACTTGGGTTAGATGTACGGTGTTATCCTTTATCTGCTATTCTTCAGCAGTGAGATTTATACTATCCATTATCTTTTCCATCTGATATTATAATTCATTACTACTGAAACTGATAAATGATATGAAAATAAAATTCCAAATATATATTTCAATTACATTTTTGTCACTTTGCTTATGGATTTAGATTTTTACCATAATGAAATACTTTATAACCATTTCGTTACCTTTCGGGTAAAGAGAAAAATAAAAGTCTGCCAAATAAAGTCTGTTATTTTTCATTTGAGAATAAAATCTCCGCGAGAATATTTTGGAAATACAGTAATCCCTCATCATTCACAGGTTCGATATCCACGAGTTTTATTCATCAGCCAATACCGAAAATACGGAAAAGTTTTAGATTTGCAACTTACTTATTTAACGATTTGTAATTTTAAAAAAAGATCCCGGTACATATATATATTTAACATATACTTGATGGCACTAGCGGATCCTGAATTTAATTTTTGGATGAGGACTTCAGCCCAGAAGCTTTTTTTTTAAATATATAACGATAATTACTTCCGAATAAAAAGAAAGGAACGAACTACCTGTATGATGTTTTTTAACTGATTATTGAAGTCCTATTAAATGTAATGATACAAATAATAATACTTTTAGAGATCATTTTTTCATAAGACATTGTTATTTTTTATTATTATTTTTTTTTGGAGGGGAAGAGAGAGGAGGCTTCAATCGATTAGAGTTTTCTTTCGAAATAAGCGACTTATTCATGGAATTTGTTTATATATTTATTTATAGTAATGAACGCATTAAGTATATGAAGTAGATTGCTGAGAAATGACCTTGGTAGGAAACATACTTAAATGCAATTATTATTGTTTTAAATAAAAAGCTATTTAACATAAGCGCGGTGTTTACTGTGATAAATATTGATGATTTTTTTTTTCACAATAGCCTCCTTTAAGGTCCCTCATTAGTATTCTTTTGTGGTCTTGCAACGGCGGAAAATATGGAAATAAATTGCCCTCAAAGGAAATCACTCTAAGGAAAAGACTCGGCTGACAAACGTGGAAATCAAAGGCGATAACATTAAGCTAGTGTGTTCCTTTGAAAGAGAAGTTTTTCCTCCTCTCAATAACCGGAGTGTAGGAGTGTCTTTATACATCAAAGGCTCTCCGGCTACTTCTTCTGAGTTATTGAGTATCTTCCTTACCCCCCCCCCTCCTCCGGCTTCTGCTTTCTAGGTAATTTACTATTGAAGCTAATGATGCCCGTCTTTGTGGTGTAGCTTTTAGCGGCTCTAATTACAAGAAGAAAATAAGGAAACATGGGTTCGATTCTAGGAAGAAGTATATATATATATATATACATATATTTTATTAATCGACCTTTATATACTATAATTTAAGATGGTCATTATATTCGGGTAAAATAGGTCTCTAAACTGCATTTTAATAAACTAATCTACTTCTGTTTTCTTAAATAAGTAATGGACACCCTCCCCATCAGTTTTCTTTTTTTTTTAATTTATTTATATGATATTTACAACTGTATACAAAAAATACATCTAGTAAATTGGCACATGGATATAATGACATGAAACACATGTTGAGAAACTACCCATTGGTAGCACTCTAATAATATGTCTATAGTAGGAGATCACTTGGCCATCTTCTTTTCAGACGCCTCGGAGGGTTATCAGGAATTGAATAGGAAGCAAGGTTAGAAACAAGAGGGTGGGGATGGTTTTGAAGTTTATTATGGAAGGACAGATATCTGGATTGGGTCAAATCTGATACATAAGGAACATTAAGGTCATTATGGATGATTTTATTTGTAACAAAGTAAGGAGCATTGAGGATTTTACGAAGGATTTTGGATTGTAAGGATTGGATACGAGAGGAATTTGAAGGTTTGGTGGTGCCCCATAGCTCAACTCCGTAA